ATTTGGAAATGCATTGTATCACATAGGGAGTTTTTCTTGAGCAATATGAGGGTTCTGGGCGGTAATGGGAATAGAGTTAGATTTAACAGCAAAAGAGGACTGGGGATAAACCTTTAAAAGTTTGGCTTCCAAATTTGTTTGCTAGGTGACTCCAAAAAGTAAAATGGTGAAAGATATGGTGGAAGGGAGAGGATTTTGTATCCACTGGGATATAAGGTGCTCGTATAGAAGAGTTAATAAGACAATTACTGAAGAATACATATAATGTCTAGCTCTGTTACAACAGCACTATCGCTGCTCAGATATGGAAGACAAGGTGATATGGGAGCCGAGTAAAAAAGGAATGCTCATTGTAGGGTCTGCATGTATGACCATAATAGATGGCAAGGTCCTATGTCAGCAAGGAATTGGAAATTGTTTATACCAATGACGATCAGGGCCTTTATATGGGTTTCATCTTTGAAGAAGATTCTTACAGTTGATGTGCTAAGGAAAAGAGGTAAAATACTGGCAAATATGTGTATTATGTGCATAAGGGATGAGGGAACTGGTTTTGATTTAATTTTTTATTTTGTTTGTTGTTTTGTGTTGTACAATGTATTGGCCAATTGGCGATTTTAATAGTTGTAATTTGACATTGAATTAATAAAAGTTACCTTCTGTAAAAAAAAGATTAGGTTCTCGCTTTCTTTCCATGGATTGTCACAAGAAGTAGTTTTTGGGAGAGAAAATGCTGTCAATTTTTTCTTATTTTGAAAGCCAAAAGGTACTCTACTCCCTCGGGATTAGAATGTTCCATTTATTCCCTCAGGTAAAATCCCACTAAGAATTTTGGAAATGTAACTTCTTTAACCTATAAGGTATTTCGAAAGCCAAAAGACCCTCTACTCCCTTAGGAGTAGAGTGTCCATTTACTCCCTTGGGTAAATTTCTACCAAGAATTAATTTTAAGACCCCAAATTTTGGGGATGTAACATCTTCAACCTATAAACTAACTTCAATAAAAAAGAAATCCTAATTTTCCCTCTACGCACTTTAAAAAAATAATGTCACGATTGAATAGAGACCATCCGATTTTAGATGGGAAGATCCAACTGTTAAAAAACTCAAATTGCATTTTTTTTTACAATAAGTATCTAATAATTCTTAAGTGGTTCTGAAAAATTTCGTATTGGACAAATCCTCCTAGGTAGGTATCCTGTCTGAGGGAGTAAAAGTAAATTATCACGCTATAAATGAAATATCTAAAGAATTACAATCTATTAACATGCCTACCAGCATTGCCTTTTGGGATGCGTAAATATAAGGACCCGGTTTCTATGCGGTCAAGCCTACAAATGAAGAAATGCGGGCCTATTGAATAATCTATTTTTCAAATGGATTTTTGGACTTAATTTTTAATGACATGTAATCTCTAACATGGAGATCATAAATATGAAAAACATAAGTAAATTATAAAAATTAGAAATAATAATTCTAGTAAGAAAATATTTGGACCATTAGTTTCCATTGTGTTTAGATGGAACACCTACTTACATCCATCTTAAAAATCGATGCTTTACATTTTATGGATCACATATATAGTCATGCAGCCCAGCCGCATGAAACAATTTTCCTAAAGATAAAGTACGACCTTTTCGAGATGTAAGCATTGTTGCTCTAGCGGGGGGAATACCCGTGAGTTGAATTCATTGAGATCATCCAATCTTTATGTTGGTGCTGCTTATTGACGCATATTTGAGATCTTATATTTTTGGGTAAGTAAATGTTTTTTTGGGTAAATTATTTGAGATCTTATTGTTGTTGTCGTTTCTCCAAACAGAATCGAACTTCATTTTGATGATGCTCAAAAGGCAATTAAGAGATCAATAGTACTGGAGTTTAATAAGTGATGAGCATATCTCTCTCAGAGCTAAATATTTTGTTTCATACACCATTCCCAGGGTGCATATATAATCCATTCAATGGGCGCAATTATTGAACTTAAAAATTTCTTATGGTTTTGTATTTTAGAAATCATATGAATAAGAGAAAAAACCCATGAAAGAAAATTAATGATTCATAATTAGATTATTTAATTATAAATATCTTGAATAAATCCAAAGAGTGACTAATAATCCTGTTATACGTATGCATTTTTCTAACAAATCTGCGATGTTCAAGAAAAAAGTGTTATATAAAAGTTCTAAAAACATATGGTGATTCTGTCCACACAACGACGCCCTTCCAGTGTTTGACATTTCACATCGCCATATATAACAGCCAAGAATTATTCTCATATTTTATTTTTATAAGATTTTCATGAATTTTGGTGTATTGGCCTATTTTATTAAAATGAATAAATAAAATATATTCTAAATAAGAAATAACCAAAATACCGCTAAATTTATTTTGATCAATATTTTTTATTTATTTATTTTTATTATTTTTGCTATTTGTAAAAATGTAGCTAAAGCCCAGGTTGATATTATTTATAAAAAAAATTTAAAAAAATTCATTTATCGCACTGAATCATTAAGCATGTGGACTTAATACCAACCCTTGCACAAATACACCCATTTTAAAACCTTGCTGCACACTAGTTATTTTTAAAGCCCGTGGTAAAATTTGCATCTCTCCAAGCCACAAAAATTAACGTCATCATTATGATGTACGTACTTAATAAATTTTTTTTGGGTACAATAGCAGTGGAGGGTACTACAACGCAATAACATCTTAAGTTCCATTTTCACTAATTCTCTCCGAATAAAAATCAATCCGGTCTGAGTACACTCTTGCTCGAGGTTTTAAACAAACCCGGATAGAGCATCCGGATTTTAAACCCGGTTCGACGGATCAACGATCCGCTCCACCAAACCGGTCTTGAAAAAATTAAAAAAAATTGAAAAAAAAAAAAGTGAAGCAAGCTCTGACCGGTGTCCAATATTTTTCAAGAACCAATTCATCTTAACAATTCCCAATTCAAATTGGCTGATTCCAATCTAAATTAGCAGGTTTTAGACATGGCTGTTATAATACAACCAAATAGCCTAGTGGATTTGGTTGGGTGTATCATATGTTTTGGATCCTCATAAATTTCCATGGAAGTATCATCATCGGTCTCGCGGAGTAGATTTACTATGAGTTCCTTGGGCCAAAAAGTCTGAGAGTAAACTTTACACTTAGTCCTTCAGGCACATGATTTATTTCAATCAGTTTTTTTGTTATGAAACTTTAGGATCCACATAAGAATATCACCATATGTGGAATGAGATATCTATGGATGTATAAAGAAATGGAAAAGAATGAATGAAATTAGGTCGAAGAACTAGGTAGTGAAATTTTTTTAAAAAAGAAAGATTTATTTAGGGATAAATTAGTAAAAGAAGGAAAGTGAAACTCTAAATACGAAGTTAATGTTATGTAGAATGAAATGACTAACTGTATTAAGAAATTGCAAAACAAATTTTACGAAAACCTAGAGGGAAGAGAAATTTTAATAAAAAAACTTGGCAGTAGAGTGACGAGGTTCAGAAGGCCATTAGTAAAAAACTAAAAAATAGTAAGCTTAAACTTAAAGCACGTGAAAATCTATACAATAAATTAAGAATAAGAGAAAGAAGATTTATTCGAACTAGCAAAAATGAGAAAGAGTAAGCGTAGAGAGATTTAATTTGATAAGTGTTGGAAAAAAAAAAGGTCTCCAAATGCTATATAGATATGATGATAGATATGTAAGAGGGAATGCTAACTAGTGTGCATACAACTAGTGGAGAGACAAATGAGTTTTCAGTGACAATATATCTATATAAGGGGTTAGTGTTGAACCCATATCTCTTTGTTTTAGCTACGGACCAATTAATTAGGCATCTACAAGATGACCATGGTGCGTGTTGTTTGCGGATGCAATATGATCGATGAGACAAGAAGTGACGTCAAGGCAAAGTTAGAACTTTGGAGGGATGCACTAGACTTTGAAGGCATAATATATGGAATGGAAGTTTAGTAATAATAGGAGTAGAAACGAAGTAGTTGTTAAGATTGATGACCAAAAAATACCTAAAAGCGAGTATTTTCGATATCTTGGGTCAATAATCTAAGAAAATGAAAAGATTAAGATATAGTACATGGAATTCGAGTTGAATGGGGGAAGTGGAGATGTTCAACCAGAGTTTTATATGATTGTCGCATACTATTAAAGCTAAAGGGAAAGTTCTATAAAATAGTTATGAGACCAACTTTGTTTTATAAGACAGAATATAGGGCGGATAAGAAACATCATACCCATAGGATGGATGTAGTAGAGATGAGAATGTTGGGATGAATGAGTGACAAGACAAGAAAAGATAGAATTTGGAATGATTTGAGGGAACAAAGAGGCAATAGGTGACCAGATGAGGGAAAGTAGACTTAAGTGGTTTAGCCATATGCAGAATAGACCCAATACAACACTGGTTAGGAGGTGCGATTTGGTTCAAGTAGAAAGCCCTAAAAGAGCAAGGAGAAGCTCCAATAAGGCATTGATGGAAGTAGTAAGAAAAAATATGGGGACTTATGGCCTTATTTAACGTATGACCCTTGATGGAGCAGAATGACAGAACATGATCTATGTAGCCGAAGCCAAATAGTTAGAATAAGACTCTGATCATGATGCTGATAAAAATCACCATATGAGTGTTTCGGACGAAGAAAAACGAAACGAACTTTGAGATCCTTAGATATGAATGCCCAAAATTTGGACTGCGTTTGTTCTATCCTAGCATGTTTTTTTCCAGGAGGATATAAAGTTTGCAACGAAATCTTCTTTCCAGGTTGGAAGAATGGATTAGGAAGTTCTAGTCCAAAATTTGAGGCCCCAAAAATACTCCTAGCTAGGTTTTACATGAGGGAGTAAATGTCCCTTTTGCTCCTAAGGAGCATATAATCTTTTCAAAGGAAAAGGCTTGATTGGTACATTGTATAACCATTTTTAACAATCCAATGTCATATGACATGAAGCATTCCTGCCCGCAGCATTTCAGTAGTGTGAAATGTATTTGATTAGTGGTTCTGTTAACATGCATGAATCAAACTCTCTGGATCCTCCCATTATAAGCAGCAATCTAGATACACAAAGATATCTCAGGCATACCTTAAACGGAGGCAAACTAGATACACAAAGATATCTCAGGCATACCTTAAAAGGAGGCAAACTAGATACACAAAGATATCTCAGGCATACCTTAAAAGGAGAAAACAAAAAACTGTTAGACATAGCTTTTTGCAAGGAGTTATTTGATTATAGAGGGTAGCTACTTGCAAGGTCTGGTGCTCCTCTCTCTATAAAAGTAAACAATAAGGGATCCAGAAATATGATCCAGGGTGCATCAATTACTCTGAGAAACGTTGAGGTGGGATAACACGAGCTCCGCAGCCTTCCATCCTGAAGCTATTGATTTTCCGACAGAGAGTCCACCTCTATGGTTACCTGCATACTTAAAGAATAAGCCACTTAAATCTCCCTTATACCTTGAGCATTCTTTTGAACTTTAAAGCTGCATTAACAAGTCATCTAGTTCATGTTGCAGGTAGAAGGAGCTTTATTTTATATATATATATATATATTGGGCAATGATCTAATGCAACAGTTGTATCATAGTATAATGCAACCACACTTCTAGAAAACCATGTTTGTGGAATTTGCATGGCCCAAAATTTTGCGCACACACTCCCTTCATCTCAATAATGAGTACAAAAAAAACAAAAAGTTCAATTGGAACCCTAGATATGCTCAAAATGAGTCCCTTCCAACAACAAATCTAGACCATTCATTTGGTGAAATTCAAGATCTTAGCATTTACAAACTCAAAATCATTTTTTCTTTTTTAACATTGTTCATCTAATGATAATAATGTCATCTAAAAAATTGGAAAAGAAAAATTCCTTTTAAGGCGTAGATCTAAGCATCTTATCAAAATGGACTGCCTATGTTAATTGGGCTAAAAAAATACTTTCTAGGTTGTGTTGTTAAATTTTTCTTTTTCGTGGTTATTCATTATTTTTTTTTGGGTAAAGTCAGTGGGGAAGAAGGCCCCCTACCGGTTTTTCATTAAAAAAGCAGAGAAAAACAATTAAGATACAACCCTATGGTAGGGAAATTGCGTCAGATCATGTAATAAAAGAGAGGAAAGAAAATTTGGTTGTCTATGGTGCCACATAGTAGTATCAGGGCCAACAGCTGCCCTCTTAGCTAGGGCATAAGCAACCATGTTAGCCTCACGAAAGACATGTGTGATGGACCATCGATGAGAAATAAGTCTGATGCAACAATTGTCAACAATCGTCTTAAGTCTCCATGGAGCATTGCATCGATTCTGAATGACATTCACAAGCAAGGCCGAGTCACTTTCAATTTGGATTGGAAAGCGATTACTTTGAATAACCAATTGAACTCCTTCCTCAAATGCCAAGAATTCTGCATGGTTATTAGAAGCAAAACCAAAATGCTTTGCAAAAGCAGCAATAAAACCCCCCTCACTGTTCTTGATAACTCCGCCACCACCTGCTAAACTTGGATTTCTCAAGGGAGCACCATCAATATTGAGTTTGTAATCATGAGTCTCAGGAAAAGACCACGCTACCGAAGTAAAGGGCTCAGCCCTCTGCTGCTGCCAAGTTATCCGAAGGTTACCAATGATGGCCTTTTCTGATAAATGAAAAGACCACTTCTTAACTTCTGCTAGTGCCTGAACATACAGGGTAATTCTTTTCACAATAAGTTCTCTCCTGGTGAGTCTTGACTCAATAACTCTTCTGTTGCGCTCTTCCCATAAAAACCAAATAGCAGTAAAAGAGATGGAAGACCAAATATTACGAAGTCCATGTGATTTAAACCAGAAGAGCAACCACCACCTAAGTAAATCAGGGATAGAGGTACCAAGGACACACCTTTTTCCACATCTCCAAGCGAGTTATCTCCATACAGCCTGCGCAAAGGCATATTGGAATAATAGATGAAAAAGATTGCCATCATGGTTACTACAAAAGGGACATAAAGAGTCCAGTCGCATGCCTCACTGCTGTAGTAAGAATGAAGTGGGTAATCGATTATGCAAGGCCAACCATGAAAACCATTTCGCCCTTGGGTGGCATTTGGAGGACCAAAGTTCACGGAGGATAGGCTGTGATGAACCTTGATGCCTAATAAAATCCCATGCCCTTTTAATAGAGAATGATCCATCAACAGAATAAATCCAGACCAGTGAATACTTCTTGGGCTGTAGAGGAAAAGTATAATTCTCAACCTCTCTCCATATATTCCTCAAAGAATTAGATGCGGGATGCATCAGAACCCAAGCTTGAGGAGCTCCTCTGATAAAGTCTGACACCCTCCTCCCTACAGCAGCCCCCATATACTCCTGAGTGTTATCGTGGAGGTCTGAAAGTGGCTGACCTGCTAACTATGGGTCCATCCAGAAATCCACCATCTGACCATTACTAATATTCCACTGTACATTGCCTCTAAAATGAAATAAGCCAAGTAAAATCCCCTTCCATGCATGAGAACATCCTCTTTTGCCTTCAGCCTCCCAAATAGAGGAATTTCTAAAATATCGATGTTTGAAGAACCGTGCTAACAACGAGGATGGGTTTTCCAAAATCCTTCATGCTAATTTCATTATTCTTGCGATATTGAAATCCACCATATCTCTTACCCCAAGACCTCCTTCAGCCATAGGGAGGCACACCGTTTTCCATTTTATAAGATGAATACCTTTTTTTTCTTATTCCCTAGCCCATAAGAAGTTCCTCTATAGTCTTTCTATCATATTACAAGTTTTCTTTGGAAAAATAAAGGATAATAACCAGAAAATCGAAGACGCCCCCAGTACAAACTTAAGCAACTGAAGTCAACTGGCATATGAGAGGCATAAAGGCTGCCAAGACCCGATCTTACCGATCACCTTACCCACCAGACTATGACAATAACTGTGCCTCAAATGTCCACGAATAATGGTAGACCTAAATAGCGGACAGGAAGAGACCTTTCAACAAACTTTAACTCCCTCAGAATTCTCCCCCATCCCCCCCGTGGTGCACCAAAGAAAAAGACCTTGCTTTTTAGATGAGTTCAGAATCTGACCAATGCTCCTCTCAAACTTATGCATAAGTTCACGCATAGCTGTGGCAGTAGAGATGGATGCCTCACAGAAAATAAGCACATCATCAACATAAAAGAGATGAGAAACCCCAAAGTCACACCCTGAAGGAAACACCCTGGGAACCATGCCTTGCAACATAGCACAATCAAGTTGTCTGCTAAAAAGATCCATGACAAGCAAAAAAAGATAAGGAGATAGAGGGTCCCCTTGCCTCAAGCCTATCTTACCTTTAAAAAAACCTTTGGGTTAGCCATTCCTCAAGACAGATAAAGAAGTAGTGTAAATACACAAGTGAACCCAAGAAACAAATAGGTTAGGAAAACCCAAAGCATGCATCCTACCCATTATAAAATCCCAGGATACTCTATCATATGCACTGCTCAATTCGATTTGCAGACACATTTTAGGCCGATTTGAGTTCCTATAGCAAAGAGACATAAGTTCGTTTGCCATGAGAATGTTATCAGTGATAAGCCTACCTTTAAAAAATGCCTAGGGTCAATAAAATCAGCAAGAACAACTCGTAGGCGATAAGAAATTTTTTGCTGATGGTTTTGTATAAAACATTACACAACCCTATAGGTCGAAAGTCTTTCATCACCCTAGGTGCATCCGCTTTAGGAATCACACAAATAAAGGTGGAATTGATTTGCTTGAGCAGCTTACTCTTAGTGAAGAAATGTTTAAGGGCCAAAAAAGATCCTTTTTAATGACTTCCCATCCAACCTTGTAGAATTCCACTGAAAAGCCATCTAGTCCTGGAGCACTTTCATTTTTCATGTCCCAAATGTATGCTTTAATCTCCTCCATAGATACTGCATCCACTAGTATGTCCTTCTGAGAAGAATTAAGATGGAATGGCGGCAAGACCTGATAAACCATGTGAAGGTCAATATTGCTCTCCTGAGCCAATAGGTCTTCAAAATAGCCAATCCTATGATTTTCAATATCATCCTCAGTAGACAAGAGATTACCATTCTGATCTTTCAAAGAGATAATTCTATTAGTCCTCCTCCTAAGCACAATTGATAAGTGAAAATCTTTGGTGTTGGAGTCTCCCTCTTTTAACAAATTTTGTGATGATTTTTACCTCCAGAATCTTTCTTCATTGGGCAGAAGAGTTTGCAATTTCTGAGTATACTCTTTTTCCTGAGTCTGCAATGTCTCATTGGAAGGATCCATGCGTAGACTATCATGCAGAGATGATAATTGGTGACGATCTATAGCAATGGATTCCCCAACAAAGCCAAACACCTCCTTGTTCTACAACCGTAGGTCAGCCTTGAGCCTCTTAAGTTTAGCCACAAAGCGATATATGGGAGTACCCCCCACTTGACCTTGCCATGAATTACAGATAACATCTAGAAAACCTTGATGCTGTCCCACATAGAGAAATACTTAAAAGGTTTGGGCCGAACTGGACCCAGATCCGAAATAGAGATGAGTAAGGGACATTGATCTGAGGTATCTTTAGGGAATAACTGGACTTTGAATTCAGAGAAGGCAAAAATCCAATCAGTAGTTGCTAATGCTCGGTCCAACCTTCTTCGAATGCATCTTCTGCTCAACTGGTTATTAGACCAGCAGAACCATCCTCTGACTACACCAAGATCAGCAAGAGTGTATATTCTAACATTTGGATCAAACAAATGGCCCTAACATGGTTTTTGAAGGTTGTTGCATTATACAATGATACAACTGTTGCATGAAATCACTACCCATATATATATATATAT